CACCTGTTGGAAAAGAAACAACAACAGACAGGTTTGATTTGAAGGACAAATTCAGAAACACAATCATGTATTAATAAAGAGGTAAACTATATTCACAAAAATTCTCATGCCCAATGAGAAAAAAACATGGATAATATCCTGCATCAGACATATAGCTATGATGATGTGGCTATGATCTCTCTCCCCATCTGATGCTCCAAAACCACCTTAACATTCAGCCAGTTGGTCTAAGGGACAGAACTCTGTGGTGCTGGCCACTTGGGGCACTGAAGGGTGATGGGTCCAGCCCCATCCAGACAGAGTTAGAATCATAGAATCATGGAAGAGTCCACAAGGGCCATCCAGTCCAACTTCCTGCCATGTTGTGAAGACACAAACAAAGCACTCCCATTTGGACCCTGCAGAGGTTGTAACCTGCAGGGATGTAATGGGAGTACACACGGTTTTGAAATGGTTTATCTGGAATGGTGCCAGAGTGCATGATGGGAAATGTAGTTCTGGCCTCTTTTATTGACATGCTACATACTGGCCCCTTTCTTGAACAAAACAGAAAATATCAGATGCTTGGATGGTTTGATCCATCCTATAGCTACCTACCCCAAAGACTAGTAGACTGACCTCCTCCCTGAGTCCAAATGCCTTTGAGCAGGGTTTTTTGGGTGACTTTTAAAGACTTCTGGTTGGCTATGGAGGCTAGATTGGATGTACGGATTGGGAGTTCCTGCATGGCAGGGGGTTGGACTGGATGGCCCTTGTGGTCTCTTCCAACTCTATGATTCTATGATTCTACTCTGAGGGAGATCCTGGAAGATGCCAACCACTTGGGTAAAAAAAAAAGCAAAAAGCTGAGAAGAATGGAGGCTGGTTAAATCTCACCCTTAGCACGGGGTGAGCAGAAGGGCCTGTGGAGAACCCAGTTGGCTTCAGCTTTCCCTTTTTTCTTTACTTTTTCCACAGTGAGAGAGAGAGAGAGAGAGAGAGAGAGAGAGAGAGAGAGAGAGAGAGAGTGGATCAAGCAGAGGGGGCTTGGGTGAAACCAGTGCCGCAAGTGCAGAGCTGCAGAGTTGGCACAAGAGCTGCTGCCAGCTTTTTAAAAACATCTTAAGTGTTAGGTCTTTTGGTAACTTTTAAAGGAGATGCAGAGAAGCAGACCATAGCATCCTTGATCAAAGAGACGCACCGTTTCTCATGCAGAGGGATGTTTTATGTCTTCTCCCAATTAGTATGCCTTGAATGCTCCTGAAAATTTGGTTGGATTCCAAGGTCTGTTTTCCCACACATCAAATGTTCATCATGCAAAGGCACCAGAACTCTGAGCTGCCATGGGAGCAATCTAGGCTTCTTTGACCTTGATTGGAATCCTGTTACCAGTTCAGATTTGCCATTAACCTCTCTTAAGTGAAGCTTAACTAGCTAGTGGAAGCAGTGGAGAGTTGGTAGGGCATGATCAATGGAATGATTAATATAAAAGGATGTAAATCTTTGCTTTTTTTCTTTTCACCCAAATGAAATCATTGAAAAATGAATGAAAAAAATTGAAAACAATTGCCCCCCGATGCATGTCTGGCTACAAGCAACTAGAGGTAACTGCATGTGGATTTGGCCAATCCCCCATCCCCACCTACTCGGGGCTTTACATCCCACAGAAAGTCCAAAGAACTCAATATTCCTCTGCAAAATGGCATCTCAAAATGTAGCCATTTTGAGATGGACTGCAGAGGGAAGCAGATGTATTTGTGGTAATATGAGGGTTCTAGGGTGCTGAAGGTAATGGGGTATTTTCATGTGCATTTTCATGCACTTTGGAGGTTTTCTGTGTTGGCTTGAGGACAAAATTGCCCAACAATCATGTTGATTTCTTTTTCAAATTGTGAATGTGTTGAGAAATTGGGGGGGGGCTTAAGGGCCACAAAAGCAGGGTTCAGCGCTCTTATTTTGTTCACCCCTGTTTTAAGTCCCGGCTAGGCTTGAACAACAATGCTCCAAGAAGCCAAAAAGGAAAGTGGGGTGGATTCATTTCAAAACATGGAAAACACAGTTGTACAAATAAGGGGCTGGTTTAGAGCTATCTTAAATAACATTTTAGCTGTTGTGTTCCCCCGCAGTCAGGCTGGCATCCTGTTAGTGACATATGCCACTGTAACATTGGTATATGACTGGATTGTGGTAAAGGGAGAAATTCAGTGCCTCCCTCATGCAACAATCTTCCTTGAAACTCATCTGTTGTCTGAAGGGGGCTTCCGCTCAAGGTCATGTACTGGCCTAGGGGTCCACTAAAGTGTCCTCCAGAGATCATGGAGGGTGATGTCATTGTGGTGTGTCTGGCTACAGGGACTCAGCAAACACTCCTGCTCTCTATTGGCCAGTAATTGGCCATGTGGCACAGCATGAGAGAGGTAGTTTTTGAGGGAGATGAGAGAATAGACAGGGCATTGTCCTACCTGGACAGAACTTTGCCTCTGCCTCCTGATGCAAGATGTCAGCATTTGAGTACTACCTTACTACAGATTCAAAACAGCTGGCATTGCATCACTTGGGCCTTCCCCAATGGAAACATCTAGGTAACATGCAGAAGATTATATGACATAATTCCACCATGAATTATTTCCTAGCTTCTTCAATCAAGGTTATGAAGAAGGGGAAATGAAGCCTAACATCCCTGTAGGACTGTATGTCATGTCATGCCATGTACTGTGCTGTCTTTACCTAGATATTATGATGAGAAGATAAAGGAAACACAGACAGCAAAGAGACAGGGAAGGTACTCCTTTCTGTCAGTGGTGGTTGTTGGATCGCATGTCAGTGGGCTCACTAAATCTGCTCTGGGGGTTTGTCTGAATTTTAAGCAGCTATGCAGGGGGTTGAAACTGTGTCATGGGCCTTTCCACATCCTCTCCATGGGGAGTCCAGATAATGTACATCCAAAACCTCATTTCTGGTACATACAGACTGAACATGTCCAACATGTTCAGTGCCAGAACTGGGGTATAATATCTTTAACACATTTACTTTTTACTTTGGATCTTCTGGGAAGTTCTGGAGCCCTCTGTTGCAATGCCAGGTGCCATCCTGCTTAGCTACCTGTCTCTCACACTGAGGTCAAAATGAGATGCTCAGCCATGATATCAGTACTGGATGTCTCATTGCGACCTCAGAGAGAGATGACCCATGGTGGACATGCCAACTGGCTAAGCAGGACATGCTTGTGAATAGTTGCCCTGGTGTTGCAACAGAGGCAGAGGTAATGGACTGCCTCCAGAGTATCCTGGCCCATGTAGGCCAGCCCAGTGTTAGGGGTCAGTGCCTTGGATAGTTCCTTTTAATTTCAGATTAAAATCTGGAACACATTTAACGCCCCTACTGACATCAGAGCAAACAACAGACACTCCTTTCTGTCCAAGAATAGATAACTACACACATAATATGGCACATTATTCCTGGAGCTTTGTAACAACACAGACAACATACTGTCAGTCTCTCAGAGAGTAGACCCATTGAATCAATGGGATTTATCTATGTGTTGATGCATCATTCAGCAACTGAGTCAATGGGTCTAATCTAGTTGGAAATAACCAACCGGAATCAAGCCATTTTCTACCCACTGTATGTTGGGCCAGAGATCTATAGCAGATCTCTTGACCTCAAATCAGCATTCATAAATGCTCAATGACATTATCCGTGGATGCCCATTAATAATAATTTATTCAGGATCATTTCAAGGCAGCTTATATATCAGACTTATCATTGCTCCATGAAGCAAACCATTCTTAATCCTCTTCTTTTTAAAGTGCCTTACTAAAATTCACTCAATAGTATGGCATTCACACTCTTAATCATTCTCAGATAGGATCCCTAAGGGGAAAGGACAATAGCTTAGGTACATCTGCTTTCCTTCAGGTTATTTCCTCCTGAGAAATTATTTTAAAAAGTGGAATCTGGGGGAAACTGGAGCCATGGGTGAGGCAAACAAGGGGGAAAATTGTTCAGAAGAAAGGGTAAAATACCAAAACGACAGCCGCTGCAGGTCCCACGAAGGCATACAGCAGACCTCCTTCCAAAGAGAGCCAACAGCTGGTAAAGGAAGAGGAAGAAGAGACAGGTCAAGACAGTAGCAATGCTGGCTTCAAGGCACAAAACATCCATTAATTATGCACATCTCAAAGCTTTTTTGACCAGTCTTGTTGGTGTCAAGAAAGTGGTTGAACATTTTTGTCCAATGCAGAACAGTACTATTCAGCTCCAAGCCTTAGGAAATGGAGTTGCACACACAGCACCATTGTGAATAGAAGTACACAGGCATTGCCCATAGATTCCCACAGCCCAGTTGCACATTAGATATGGAAATATTTCTTCAAGATATTTGATCGACACTCTAAAGAGAGGTTTCCTGACACTCAGGAAACTTTCCTGAGTGTCAAGAAACCCGGACATAAAAGAATTCTCTAGTGCTGTATTGAAGCCAAATTCCTAAACATGCTGTTGTTTGCCTTCAAGTCATTATGACAATCCTACCACAGGAGTATTTTTTGGCAAGATTTGTTCAGAAGAGTTTTTGCCTTCCTCTCCTCTGAGGCTTGAAGAATGTGATTTGCCCAAGGCTATCCAGTGGGTTTCGGTGACTGAGAAGCTTATTGCATTGTTAAATAAAGCAACTTACCTGATCCAGCTTAAAATGTAAATCGGGTGGCATCCTGATATTATCAAAAGGATTTAACCACTGAATCTGCTGCCTGGGTCCATCCTGGGTCCATCCCCATTCCCAGGGCTGCTCCGGTGGCCATTTTCTATGATTCTATGATTCTATGATTCTATGACTCTCAAACCGGAAAACTCCTGGCTTTGGAAAGAGCTGCACTGAGCACCCCTGGGAGCGGGGAAGGACCCAGGCTGCATTCAGGTGTCAAATTCAGTGGCTAAATCCTTGTGATAATATCAGGATGCCGCCTGATTTTAATTTTAAGCCGGATCAGGCAAGTCACTTTATTTACCGATGCAATAAGCTCCTGAGTGGGGATTTGAACCCTAGTCTTCAGAGTTGTAGTCTAGTGCTCAAACCACTACACAACAATGGCTCTCCTCCAAACATTTTCCTTCCCTTCAAATAGGTATGTTTTACTAATTCATTAATAGAAAGCTTTAGACATGTGGCCCACCAAGGATTTTGTGCAGCCCACAAAGACTTCAAGGCTCCTTCAATGCTTGGCTTCCTCCAAAGGAGAGGGCCAGGCAGAGGAGGAGGAGGACAGGTGAACATTCACCCCTCAAGGCTCTTCCGCTGTTCGGCCTTCTCCTGAGGAGGGGCTGAGTGGAGCAGGAGAGAGATGGAATTATTAGTAATAATAGTAATTATTATTAATTAATACAGTTATTTCACACTAATTTTTAATTATTTAATATTGATTAAAATAGTTTAATCATTGATTTATAACTTTACTTAGAATGTGAGCTGCTAAAAACCTGTCTGCGGCTCAAAGAAATTTGGCCTATTTGAATTTTGGCCTCTACCTACTGCCAAGTTGTGCGAGTCTGATTTAGACTGATGCTATCCAAATAAAGTAAGAGCTGGTGTGATATACTGGTTTGAGTATTGGGTTACAATTCTGGAGGCCAGGGTTCAAATCCCTGCACAGCCAGGGAAACCCACTGGGTGACCTTGGGCAAGTCACGTTGTCTCAGTCTCAGAGAAAGGCAAAGGCAAATCCTCTCTGAACAAATATTGCCAAGCAAACTCCTTGATAGGGCTATCTTAGGTCACCATAAGTCATAAATGACTTGAAGCCACACAACAACAACAACAACAACAATCTAAATAAAGGAATAACAGACTCATAGAGTTGGAAGAAGTTCTCATGGGCCATTGAGTCCAACCCACTGCTTAATGCAGGATCTCCAGCTAGAGCTTCCTCAGCAGGGAGCTGCCCAGCCTCTTTCTGAAGACATCCAGAGAGGGAAAGCTCACCACCTCTGCAAGCAATTGGTTCTACTGAAGAGTTCCAATATGGGAGCAATCTGCTTTTCTAGTGAAATTTCCAAGTAATTATTTTGGCTAATCATTTTTAATCCATATGTTCATTTGTTTGCCCGCTTGCATGTTGGTAGAGAAAGACAGAACAACCCTGTCAAAAATCGCTATCTATCCCAAAGATGGGCTGCCTAAGGTCCTTGTGAGCTCTAAGTGTAGTCCCTGAAATCCACCAGAACCCCCAAAGTCCCTAGACCCACCCAATCTTTTTTTCCTGGCCAATTTTCGGGGGATTTCTTTTTACCCCAAAGACACCAAACCCTCCTGATAATCTGGTAATTTGCTCCCCTAGATCCCCCCAACCTCCCCTTTGAAAAATCCTAAAAGAAAAAAAAATGGCCAAAATGATGGCCAGAAGTGATGTTGTGTCATTTTGGGCATAGGGAAATATGACAGTTTTAACCTCCTGCAGTGGATACATGGGGGAGGGGAGTGCACCCCTGCACAGTTGTCAACCCATGATTGAAACAAATAATCCAGTCAATGGATGCGATGGTTAAGGGAACCAGGGACAATATGGACAGAAGAAGTCTCTGATCAGAACAAAGGGCTTTAAAATGACAGTAAAGATACAGAGGTAACAAGGAAGCTGGTTTCATGTAGAATCTGTGCAACATTAAAGCATGGCCCAGTCATCACCCCCATTATCTTGGCTGCAAGTGATGCAGAGCCAGCATTTCCAGCTGTGACTTGATTTCCACGGCTTAATATCCTCCTGCCGCACAGATCCACTTTGCAGAATACAATCTTTATGTGATCACTGAGTTACAAGGTGTTATATATTTTTTTCTCTCCTGCTGTTTGGTCACTGAGCAGTAGTACAATTGAAATCCTGCAGCCTGTGAACATGCAAAACCAGATACCTGGATTTCAGGCTAATTGAGCAGTCCTTTGCAAACTTTTTTTGCTGCACATTACCTATAATATCATTGGTGAGCAGACCAATGGCATATTTCCTGTTCCTCTCTTTCATCTTTATGTAAGATTTAAATAAAAACACAAAAAAATGCTTGCTTTTCCCCAACAAAATGGCAGTAGAATTACAGACATACCACAGATGATTCAAAAATGAACCAAAAGCTGAGGCGGTTGTTGGTACGTGCCTTCAAGCTGCTTTCAACTTATGGTGAAACCCTTCACTAGGTTTTCACTGCAATATTTTTTCAAAGGTTGCTTTCCTCTGAGGCTGAGAGTGCATGACTTGTCCAAGGCCACCCAATGGGGTTCTATGGCTGAGTTGGGATATGAATCTTGGTCTCCCAGAGTCCTAGCTCAACAATCAAACAACTGCACTACACTGACTACCTAAAACCCATTCAAGAAACACTGCAAAGAATGCCAAGACACATGTTAGATCAGGATGGCAACTGGTATTCAGGCAAATGGTGCCAAGATAAAAACTTTTTGACACCTGTTGCACAATGCTGCTCTTGTTGAGTACACAAAACTGGATTTAAATGACCCCAAAACCTTCCTGGAAAACATTCATCTTGAATTTTCTAGGGATAGGGCTAAAAAGGGAGATTGGAATCCTCCTAGACCATCCCACTAGACATGTTTGCTGTCCTTTTTTTTCCTATGAGAAAATAAAATGCACCTGAGCTCTGGGGGTAAGTCTTGTCTGCTGCTGCTCCTAGGAAAAAAGAACTTTAGAAGGATCCATCCTATACCCCTATTTGCAGCGAGGACAGGCTGACAAGTAGAGGCATGTCTCAAAGTGGAATAGCAAACGTGTTACTCAATGGCCTTCTCAGTCATGCTCAAAATGGAGGATATTTTGGAATTCTTCCTGGACAGAAGGATGAAATGTAGGACATGTCCTGGAAAAGGAGGATGTCTGGTCACTCTAATTCCAGTTCACATTTAGGTCTAGGAAATGCAAGCTCATTAAATTGGCATTGAAATGCATGTGAATTTTTCATGTATCATGATGGATGTCAGTGAAATGGAAATTTCTTTACAGCTTTGTCAGAATATCAGGGGATTGCAGTACTTTTGAGTGCATAATAGTTTGGATATATTCTCCCTCTTTCAGAACAAGGAAAATATGGATAATTCCATTTATTTATTTCTTATATTATATTATATTATATTATATTATATTATATTATATTATATTATATTATGCTTAGGCATGTATTCAGTCACCAGCTGGATGCTGACCATTGCATTAATCTCCCTTTCCAGGCTTTGTCTACACAATTAAAATACTTGTAATTCCAGTCAAACAGAATGTGATCTGGCCACATGTGATTCCCAGGAGCTTGGGCTTTTTGCAGAGACAGGGACAAAAAACTCTTTAACCTCTGCAGAAAAAAGCCTTCACTTTTTTTTTTAATCAGAGTATCTACAGAACTCTGCAGAAATGTGAATTATAGCACATGTGACTGCCTGCCTGCTTCACAAGAATTCGGATGGTTGTGCATTTTTGGCAGAGGGAGGGTGAATAGATGAGAATAGATGTGAATTTGCACAGGAAAGTGAGGACAATTAACCATCAAGGTGAATTTGTGAAAATCCTCAGCAATTCCCACAACATATTTACATGTAGACTAGCCCCAGGTTACAGTTGGCCCTCCATATCCACAGACTCTTTATCCACAGATTCAAGAATCCATAGACTGAATATATTTGGAATATATATATATTCCAAAAAGTAAACCTTGATTTTGCCATTTTATATAAGGGACACATTGTTTTGCTATCCATTGTATTTAATGGAACTTGAACCTCCATGGATTTTGGTATCCACAGGGGGTCCTGGAACCAAACCCCAATGGATACCAAGGGTGCATTGTATTTATGACTAGCTTTACTTTTGAACCAGGGTTGCCCCCATGACCTTTTAAAAATTATTTTATACTAACAGATGTCTCTGCCCTTGAGCTGTTGATCCTGCCTGAACGTTGCTTATGAGCTTTGCCTATCAGAAGCTCAGATCATGAATCACTCCCAGAGGCAAAGTGTTGGCATGGTTATGAACAAGAGCAGATGCTTTCTGGGATGTAAAAAAAAGAGAATAGCACAGCAGTGTGGTCAGAAAAGAATTTAGCCACTTGGAATATCCATGTGATGGATTCTCAAAAGCTCAAAGGAAAACAGACCTGAACAGCAACTGAAAGGAATCTCGTGCAAGAGGAAATTGAAGTCAATCAAATCCGACAATTGATGATGAATTTTTTGGAGAGAAAAAATCAGATTCCTGATCACCTTCAAGTAACCTCTAGAATTCTGATGTCTTTTAAATATTCTGCCAAATACTTATCTTTGAAATCTACAAACTTTGGTATGAATCAGACTGAATTCATGTTCACCACAGAAGGACTCAAACTGGTGATATCTCCAATACAATTGAGTTGGGGGGAGTGGAGTGCTAGCCTAGCCTATGGATGTTATCACACAGGGGCAAATCTTCTGGTTAATCCACACAAATCCCAAACAGAAACTGGATTTGTGCCCCGCGTTTTCACATGACGTCGCACAGAAACTGGACAGAAAGTGGACAGAAACTGGTGTTATCCGAGATCTTTTGAAATTTGGTTGTTTGGAGGAAATGCAAATGCGAAATTAAGGTAATTTCGCATTTACCATAATGTGAAAAGCAAATGCGAATTTGGGAGCATTTCCCTGCTTTTCCCATGGTTCCAGTGAGCATTCCTCTATCTGTGCATGTGCAAGAAGCTCATTTCTAGTACATTTACAGGCTTTTCTCGCTTGTGTTTGAACGTTAAATGCACTTACTGTAAATTCGCAATTAAGGTTAATTACGTGTGAAAGCCATTTGTGGAATCAAGGTTTATTTTCCATTTATTTTCGGAATGCCTCATTTCCACTTTATTTTTGCTTTCTGGCCCACGTGTGATAACATCCTATGGCTGCTACCACAATGCAGAATTAATGCAGTTTGGCACTGCTTTAATTGCCATGGCTCCATCCTATGGAATCCTAGGATTTGCAGTTTGTTGTGGCACCAGAGCTCTCTGACACAGAAGGTTAAACATCTCATCAAACGACAGATCCCAGAATTCCACAGCACTGAGCCATGGAAGT